TAAAAAATATATATATATAAAAAAAAGGTAGGGACTGTAATACGGTAAAAGGAAAGACTGATAACATACAGACCAAAGAAAGTTCGACAGTGATTCAGTCACTTTCCTTCCAAGTTTTCATTAACATGCTAAATCATGAGCGTTCTGTCAGTGCTACGTAATACAGCTATGCACTGTCAGAACAGCCTGACGACTTGTTATGACAAAACCGTATTCTGCAATACTACAGCACGTACTGTTCCAGTATCTCTGTGTACTCCAAAAGTATGGAAGTATTACACACAACAGGCAAATTACACTGGTCAGTAGCACCTTAAACTAGAGTCTTTGGAGGAAAATGTGCCTGTGACCAAAGGCTGAGGCAGCTTCGCAAAGCAAAACAAAACCCGAAACACTGAATTTGAGCTCTTATGACAAATTCAGAAAAATCCTTCTCCTATTTGTGCCATACGTTTTTCTGAGGTTATTCTTCCTTTTATTATAAAAGGAATAGCTTCTTACCAACCCACTCCCCACCTAAAAAAAGTCCTGTCGAAGAAAAACCTGTGAAATGAATCCACATATAGGAGAATGCAAACCATTTACATTATGAAAGTGTTTGATTATAAAATCTTACCTCATCACAATCTCCTTCAACCATAGCATAAATAGCTTTCTTAACCAAGTTTGTACCTGAAATATAGATTTCAGTAAGTGTCACAGTTGCAATGCAAAAGATGCTAGTTTATATATGACTAACGTGTGCTACCTACATGACATGACACCTGGAGAAAGCAGGGAGGAAAGAAAGAAAGAAACAAGAAGTTGCAGTCAAGTTGCAGTCTCACGTCTGAATATTAAAATAAGCCGTAAAGTTATCCAGAGACTCAGCTTGAGCGCAAGATATTCTTCTAACACAAGGATATTAGAAACAGGCTTCTATGTTTAACATAGTGTTATATGTAGCCTTCCAAGATGTGATCCATTCCTTTTTGTTGCATTTAAAGTCAAAATCTGCTGGCATGTACTTGAAGGACATTCATCTTCCAAGGGAATTTCCTCTTACTAAAACAAATACTTCTAATAGTAACAGAACTTATGAAACCACTTTTCTTGCGGCTCACTCCCATTTGGATTTGCTAGTATCTAATAATAATGGTTGAAGCCCATCCCTTCCCCTCAGTCAAGCATTAATTTAATTCTTTATCATTATTTTTCATCTATTTCACAACAGTTCTACAAATGTAATATCCCTACCTGTCTGTAGAATTAGGGTGAAATTGAAAGTTGATTTCAAAGTTATTAGTGGAAAAAACTGCTGTTCAATGAAATTGCATAAATCTCACTTCCATAAGAAGGCTAAGGAAAAGGAAAAAAAACCCCAAGGAATCTAAAGAATGTTTTAAAGTATTCTCAAAACTTTAATCAATTAAGATTTTCATTGAACGTACGACAGAACTGTACTACATTTAAAATAAATCTTCAGATTAACAGCTTATTTTGAGAAAACAGCAAGGTGGCAAGTGTAGGAAAAAGTCAACATACGTAACGCTAAAGTAAGCAAGGCTTTAAATATAAATTCTATTTATACGATTCTAAAATAATGAGCTGACTAAAGCGAGGGGAAAATCTTGCAGAGATCTTCATAACAGCAGCATTAGTTCTTATTTACTTATGAATCCAAGCACCTGCAATTAAATTATGGCAGGCTCCTTCATGACTCAGCTAAAAGGAGAGACAGTGATTTCTCAGTATCCTCTTCCCTCTGCTCCACTACAGAAACCAACAATGGCTTCAGAATTGCACCGAAGGAAAAAAAAAAACAAAACAAAACACAAATCCGCACATGCCTGAATAGTCATCATAATATGTAGTGCTTCAAGTTTTTTGGATTTTTTTTTTTTTTAAACGCAATGGTACCATTCTGCAATGTATCACCGTGTTTTTCCATCGCAAGTAATTTTCTGTCTTTAATCACAAAAGTATGAGCTGTTCAGTGTGAATGAGTGGTGAAGCACATTTCGAGCCTTTAAAGCTGACGTCTATGGTTTAAGTTAAAAATATTACAATGTAGTTTCACAATAACCAACACAAAAAAATTAAGTTCCATAAGAACAGATCTTTAATTAAACCAACTAGGATAACTGGTGTTAGAATGAAAATCCCTTCATCAGGGTAAAACTGATCAACGAGGGAGGGCAAACTCCCTGCCAAGCGTGATTTCTTTTATCTTCTAACTTCCCAACAAAACAGATCTCCATTTCAGTCATTCAAGTAGCAATACACAACTATTTTTCTTCACTTATTAATACAACAATGAGCTACATACATTCTCCCCAATGGGCAGTATATGCATGATTGATAGGGGAAAGCCAGGGGATAAGTTCACTGAAAAAATATAGACTGAACATAACATAGAAATAGAGTGATCAGGGCACATATAAAAATGCAAAGCAATTCCCACTGTTGTTATTTGACAGTGGTAACAGGCAGAGGTAAAGGGCTGCTGACTGCCTTTCTTTTTAGCTTCATCGTAGCCCAGATGTAAATCTCATAGGGCATGTCAAGTTATTTTAACAAAATTTAAAAAGCCACTGGGGAGCTTGTGGGTCGAGTAAGGCGGGGATGACAAACCACCAAATCTAGAAGTTGAGTTCTGCTTAAATCTTTATGACAACTACAGTTATCCCAACTACAGGATTTAAGTAAGAAATAACAAAAAAGGCTATTCTTACCAATTCCTTTTCTTCTGTATTTGGAATCCACTGCTAACATGGCTATATAACCTCTGCGGAACATCTTTTTGTGCATATCCAGCTTGCAGACGATGGCACCTACACACTCCTCACCTACCATGGCCTTAAAGACAAACATACACGTATGCATTCTCAGTTTGTGATCTACAGTGCTACCAAAAGAAGTAAACCAGTTCATTTTAAGTGAAACAGCCACACAAAATTTGTTTGCGTAAAGCTATAAAAAATAACTAAATTTAAAAAACTTCTCCAAAAGTATAAATAAGATTAAAGGGCTCTTATTTATTACATTCAAATAAAGTTACAGTCAATTAACCACCAATGAATTGTCCTGGAGAGAACCACAGTATTATTCCACAAAGTCTACAGGCAAGAACATGTGTGGTAGAAAATGGGGGGGGGGAAGAAAAAAAAAAAAGGAAAAAAAGAAAAAAAAAGAAAAAAAAGACCAGGTTAAGGCATAAATCACCCTTTTGCACAGGCTGCCTCAGAGGAAAAAAAGTCCATTCCTGTTTTATAATGATCTGAATTTTCATGTACAAGGGCTCTGGTAGATAACATGCTTAATTTTTGTCTGGTTTTAATGTCAAGGCCACAATGGATCAGAGAAAAATGTTGCTGCGTTTAATCTTTAGAAACTGTCATTTTCAGTCACATGACACCCAAAGAACAAACAAAAAAGCACACAGTTAATTTCACACATTTTAACTCTTCAGAGATTTCATTTGTTAAGAGCTATGCGCTGACAGTTAATCCCAACGTTATTGTCACAAAAAGCGTGGTCAAGGAGATGGAGTTATTCTGAAATATTAAGGAAAAGAAAACAAAAAGAAAAGAACCCAACTCCTCCCCAAACACTTATCAAACCACTTGCACAACCACTGTGTTCACCAAAATTTTACCATGGAATATATTTGAGAAAGAGCATAAGAAAAACTAAGTCATATGTTAACCGAAGGATTAGGCAGCATGAGAGATTAATGACATTATAGCCTGCAGCAGTAAAACTGAATAATGCTGCAGAGTAGGATAGCATCCAAGGGAAGAATGAATTACTATTCATTCAGGAAAGATTGACAGAGATAAAAAAGAAACTCATAGTTGTACGTATGGGTGTATAAGTGGCTCCACAGACTTTGATAGACCTGTATCTGTGGTAGGAACTAGCCTTCGGCTCGAGTGTAGCAACTAAACGGGGACTACAGCACATGACTGCCACAAGCATGTGCTGGCACAAGCGCTTCTGGATAATCCAAATTTACGACAGCGAGACACGTCAAATGAAAAGGACTCGCCAGAGCCAATATTGCCAGGCCTCAGTGCAGCCCACCTGGGAACCCAGGGCTCGCTTCTCCAAAGTCTATGGTATATACTCTATAGTCTCCAACCACCTGAAGCTTTTTGTACACAGCTTGTAGGCTAAGACTCTACGGACAGAAGATTCATTCACGCAGACCATACTGCAGGCACAGACCCTTGGGTTTTTCGCCCCAAGAGTAACGCCTTCTAGCACCTCTACCTGGATGGTGGGTTATTATCCAAGTTAGCTGTCAACCAGGAGCTGTACCAAAGGCGAAATGAAGCAGCCCGAAATGTATGAGCTGCAGTTCCAAAGCTCTATGATACAGGGTGATCCCAGCACCATTTCTAATATAGTTTAAGCTCATCAGGCAAATATAATTATTGCTAAGTTTTTATTTGGCAGGAAAACACATTTTTTTACCAGTATCCAAGAACAACCCTGAACAATCTAGGCAAGTGTTTTTTTAAAACAGAAACTGTAGCATGATCTAAATGGACTGAAATACAGAGCCTCTAAGCAGACTTCTTTTATTCTAAACCACAGTTTTATTCCATAGAAAAGAAAAGCTGTACTTATACTAAAACTGTGTATGCAAAATGCCAGCTCAAGGCAAGTTTTGTATCTCAGCTCAGACCTGAGAAAACCAGGGAGTTAAATAAAGAGTATCATCAGACAGACCGTTCATAACATTGCTATAATTATGCAGAGTACCTAGATGTAATCTTATACCTCACTAAAAAAAAAAAAAAAAAAGCACACCACAAACTAGCATGTTATAGTTCTGCTTTGCCCTGAAGTGCACATGTGCAAACTGTTGATCGCAACAGTCATGTGGAGAATTTTTAAGATTTTTTTTTTTTTTTTCACACTTCAAGAGTAGTGACATTCTAGACATTGCATATCTGCGCTCTTTCTTGTTTAGGGCACTTTCCAGAAAAGCTATGTTCATGAATCATATATTTAAAACACTAAATGAACAGCAAAGAATTTTGTTTCAGTGATCAAAGAAGCAAATACCCACTGGTCTTACCACTGTTGCCAGAGAGCTGAATAAAGTATGACTTTGTACCAGTTCCCCAAACACTTAGATCTATCTATCTGTCTGTCTTTAGGCAGGTAAGTCTGCCAGTTAATCTACGGTTGTTCCACTTAGAGAGGGAGTGCTGAATTTCCACCTCAATTTGAGGTTTTTTGTTGCCTTTCCTCTCCTTTCTCCTTTCCTCCAACCTTATCTAAAGCTGGAAATGAACCCAAAACATGATATAAAACTTTGTAATTTAATTTCCTGGAGAAGGTTAAACTGTGTAAATGAAAAAATCCAGACTGAAATAGGGAGAGTGGGGAGGAGAGAGAAAAAGTAGTTCCCATACAACACCATTTATGAAAAGACAATCATAGGCCAAATTTTCTTTTCAGGTATATGAGACTATTTCTAAACATACAAGTTTCTGCAAACAGAATTCAGCCCAACTTACTATTATATATTACAAACCCCACAGAGTACTGTAAGATTTACTTCAGTCATAAGTCATTAGCAGGATTAACATACATGAATTCAAATCCAATATTTGCATCAACTTTGTTCTTATGAATAGGTTTAAGTGTTTAAAACAAACTAGATTTTAATATCTTCTTATTTCAACCATGTATTGCTAGAAGAGTTAGCACAGAAATGTCTGTAAATCAGCAAGTACATGACTTTTCACAAAATTAAACAATTGGCATTAATTTCATTAGCAAAGATGGCATTGAGTCTGCCAGCCACAGTCTGAGTATGCATTTCATACCCAGATCCTGTGACATTTGTTCCCATTTAAAGAAGATTAAAAACCACCAACTAGCCCCTGAAAGATAAATACTTTGCGATTCAAATGCAGTAGAACCTGTGCTACTGCAATACAGCTTCCCTTTCATACATGCACCAAAATCCATCCCAAAGTATCACAGAAACAGCTCTGTGTGAATCCTTTGGCTTACATTTAGCGATCCTGTTACTGAATGCTATTAGAGGATACATGTAGGCTAATGGTTTTAACCTGAAGTCTGGCAGTTCAGTCAGAGCTCTTCCCGATACTGGGCAAGTCACTAAATCGCTCTGTTTCCACTCTGTGAAAGTGGACACGAGTAATTCCCTCCTGTGCAAGAGCATTGCCAGAATAACTACACTAGTTGTTGTTACGTACTCAGATGCTGCAACGACTGAAGTTTTCACAAAGCCGCTGACAGTGAGAAGTAGCACAGCAAGCCTGTATCTAAAACCACAATCATTCCTAAGAGGAAACTGGAATACAGAGAGTTTGCAAATTGGGAACGGATGTTATAGAATTTCTTCCTACATCTGCCATGAGGCTAGGAAGACTTCCCAGGCAGTTTCCTAACTTTTCTGGTTCTTCTTTTATGCCTGAAGTTTTCCACAACCAAAACACAGGGCTGATGTCTTACAGGTCTTAATTTCAACATGGAGTACACTTAGACTCTTGAATAAAATCCAATTAAAAAAAAAAAGGCAAAGCATTAGTATAAAACAAGATCTTAACTGCAGTCATTTAGGATTTACAACACATCTAATACCACTTACATGGAATTAATAGGTTATTTTAAACTTGTGAAAGTTTAAATTATAAATGCTGCTATAGCTAGTGGCAAAGTTAAGAACCCAATAAAAGATTTTCCAGATTTTTTGTAAAAGGCAGCTGAATGGTGCAGTATTGTGAATTACAGGAGAGGTTACAACACTCAGCCAGAACTCTGCTTTTATTACATCCTGTCTTATCCAAACTTTGGCAGAGAGCAAGGTTTCCTAAGCTCACCTCTCCCACGCTAAAGTATTTTGAAAACAATTTTCTGAAACATTTAATGTATCAGTTCTAAATGGAATTTTTAGAACTTTAACACTGCTAAGACTAGAAGCTGCAAGAACACTTTAAAAGGAAGCTACAACTTTGAAAATGCATTTACTGTAGCAATGCTTAAAAATGCTTCATGTGAAGCAGGAGATACCCCTTTCCTCTGTCATTTTTTGACAGAGTGGTGATCATAGGTCATCTGAAGAGAAATTGGGCCGACAGAGCTCCTGGGAATAAGTAAAAACCAGGCACTTACAGGGCATCCACACCTAGCACGCAGTGCGAACCTGCTCTTCCACAGACAGGCGACACCTGAGTTTAAGCAGACAGTTGCAGTTTATGGAGGAGAAGGTTATTACCTTGCAACAGCTCGGTCAGGTAATGCTGCAGTGTAACACTTCAGAACCAATCATCAAGTATTCCCAACTTGTTACCCCTAAAGTCAGGAAGACAGTTACACAGATGAATCTGACATTAAAACGAAGAGGTTCTGAAGATTCCTAGAGGCTCCAGGTCCTTTTGAAGTGGAGTATGAACTTCTTTTTTGAGTGTACAGTTAGGAAGTGGTTTGATACAGCAAAACCACACTAGTGACTAGTTAGGATTGGTTCTATGCCTTCCCTCCAGCTGTGCATTCTCACTTCTTCCCTTGCACCAACACCAGTGCCTGTGACATCCTACTACGAATATGTTTGGAGCCTTAAACCAACAGAAACCTGACCCTAAAACATCTACACACATACACACACTTACAAATATATGGTGGTGGTGGGAGGGCTATCTTAGCTTCCCAAATCAGAGAAACACAAGGGTTGGCACGAGCCAGGAGGAGGTAGTAGAACAGAAAAGAAAAGCAAGCAGCCCTTTTGGTTGCACTAGCCATTAGAGCAACGGTGCACCTTGGGAAGGCCAAGCCAAAAGTCAGCAAGTTTCAAACCCATGGGAAAATAATCAACAGGAATAATGTTAATAAAGCCCCCGAAAACAGCTCTGCATTGTCAGGTGTGCAAAATGCTAGATAGCAAAATTGTGGTGTTTAAAATGGTTTACTGAGTAAGCATCAGCAAGGGACAATTGCTGATCATTTACAGAAAATACACATCCCATCTTCAAACTCAAATGGTGTTAGTACTTCCCCCTCACATGCTGAGAAAGGGAAAGAAGCCCACGACAGTGCAATGAAGACAGGGGAGTGTGCATTGGAAGATTTTAAAAATGGTGATGGCAAAATTTGGTAAAGGAATTGACTGAACCCCTACAGATATTTTTTCAAATACAATCAAATTGTAGCCTCACCTCTCTACCCAAGACCAATCAAAACCTGAAACCAGAAGGGTGTGAGGCTACAAGGCATGAAAGAAAATGATTCTGTGAGATCAGGCACTATGCTTCTGTTCTCTGTCCTGACACTGTTCTTGCTAATTGGAATATGCAGTCCCTGACTGAAGATAAATATTTTAAAGAGACTTATTAGATAGAAGTAGTTCAGGAATCCATTAACTGCAGGAACAAATTAAATTTTATAGAACAGAAAGTCTTCAAGAAAACCTCTAAAGAACAAACCTTAAAAATACTAAAACCAGTCACAAAAAACACCCATCAAATTTGACTCAACATACCGCAAGAGCTTCAAATTATTAAGTAGGTAACAATTTGCTAACAGCTTTGGACATTCATAGCCACATATTCTTCTCTACAGTTTTATGTACTCTACATTGTTCCACCCTTCCAAAAAAAATGGCAAATTGAGTAGAAGCGCACAGAGTTCAAGTAAAGTTTTGTTGATTCTTCAAGGCTATTAAAAAAGAAGCTGTCACTACAAAATAAGCTTAAGACACTTTCTTTTCCTTGAGTGATATCTTATTCTTTCAATGCACTTGTTAAAAATAAATATTAGAAATCATCTGTTTTAGCGCTCTGTCAAACAACTTGCCATTGCTCTTTTCATAACAAAATTCTCAAGTTACTCCCTGACAAAAAAAAAAAAAAAAAAAAGATTTAAAGTCTAAACAGATGCATTGTGATCTAATAGTATCCAACATTGGCATTACCAGCAACACACCTGATGCTGAAAGTAGGGACATTTATTTGTAGTTCACAAGCATTTCTTTTCAGTATGAGGTAAATCAGTCACACACATAGCTCAGCGCTTGAAAAATACCATTCTGCTCTGATCAGCATCCTTACAATGGCACACGTGACTTTGCATCAAACAATGTTTTCAAATATTTTTGTATTTCTATTTTGTTCCAGGAGGTAATGCTTTGCTCAACTTACTATAATCCTACTGTAGTCCCTCTTCAGGGTTTTAAGAGGCACAGTTCTGAAAATCCTCCTATGAATCATATAAATCCCGCTATAAATTATACCAGACCCTAAACCAAGAACATTCAGGAAGTCTAAGGCCAGATGGATTCCATTAGCCTCACCTCTTGTACTCATATCCTATTAAATTTTTACAGAAATACTCCTAAATTGAAGGGTGTCTTGGCTCTGGCTAAATCACACCTTTCAGAGAGGTGTCCAGCCTTGATTAAAACATCAAGAGAGAAGAATTCATCATTTACCTCAGCAAGGAAGTGCCATACACTCCCTTAAGTGTTCTGTTTTGCAGACGTAAGTTTTCCTATAAGTAAATCAAACTCCCACTATGCACGTATATCCCTGAGGCCAACTTATACTCAGTTTCATATACCTGTGGATGGACTATCATCCTAAAAGCATGCTTTTCAACTGAGACACAAGTTGTTGCATAAGAAGTGCTAAACATTTAGAAAAACAGGGTGACAGCTAAATTGATCTTTTCAATAGTGCAGTGGGAAGAACATAAAACTAAATACATTGTTGGTACAGCAAGACAATCTAAGACAATTTCTACATGCTGCATACACTATCACAGCTGTAAGAATTAATACAGTTGTACTTGTCTTTTTCAAAGCTAGTAGATCAAAAAGTCAACAAAACCTTTAACAGTGTCTCTCCACGTATCACTTAACATTTAAATGCTAGGCATGCTGAAGTCTGTTTTAAAACCATCGTGCAAAAATTACTAAGCACTCATAAGACACTATTGGACTAAGCACTTTCTTATTTAAATACAAACCTAGGAACTGAGACAGAATGATAAAACGAGCTACCAAAGGCCACAAAAGTCAATGTCAAAACGAAGATCAGAAGCCTTGAATTCCTGGATCCTAGCCCTGTGCTCAAACCCTTTCCCCACCACTTAAAACATATATTAACAAACGTAGGAACTTCAGGCGTATGCTTTGCTCATACATGCGCAGGTCACAAGGGGACTTCATTAGGAAGACAGGTACTTCCAAAAAAGCTTGGCCTTATCGACAAAAAGATCATTAGAAGTATTTCTGCAAATGTCAACCCTTTAATCCTCTCCTCCCCAGCCCCAAACCACTCCCAACTCCTGCCCTCCCTTGCCCCCCCCCAGCACTTACCAAAAAGCAAAGTTGTGGCCAGTTGTGGATAAAATACCTATATGTGTAAATGGAGTAGGGTTCAGACAGATCTTTGGTGATCAGTCTCATGATATCGGGCATCTGCAGCTCTGACTCATATCGGACGTATCGTATCGTTAGGTCCTCCTCGGGCTGAGAGTCCGTTCCCGAGCCTTTCAAACTGCAAGCTGCTGCTAAGGACCTGGAGAGTAGCAGCAGGGACTCCTCCTCCTCCCCTCCTTCATCCCCCTCCTCCTGCTCTTCCTCCTCCAAGCCAGCCCCTCCTGCCAGTCCATTGCGGGCTGCAGTCTTAGCAGCAGTCGTAGTTGTGGCAGCAGGCTGGCTCCTGTCCCCTGTTGCTGCTGCTGGGGGAGAAGGAGGAGGAGAAGAGGGTGCAGTCCTTCCCTGGGGAGGGAGGTGGTTGGTAAGGGGGGATGAGCACGGTGCTGTGGTCGGGGGCGATGACTGCTGCTGCTGCTGTCCGGAGCCCATTGTTTTGCTGGCTCGCTTGTTCTCCAGCCCCTCGGGGGCTGTCCCTGCCTCCGAGCTGAGGATCTTGCTCTTGAGGGAGGCCCGCAGGTGCCGCAGCTCGGGGCTGATGAGGCCGTTGAGCTGGTGGTTGTGGTGCGGGGGATGGTGGTGGTGGTGGTGGAGGCGGTGCTGCTGC